AGCATTATTAAACTTTCCCAATTTGCTCTCTAAACTAGCAACCTTAGCTTTTAGTGATGTACAATTAGAGCATGTAGAAGAAGTAGTTGAAGGTTCTTGTGGCCTTTTTCCAAAAGAGATTATTTCTTGTTTAAGTTTATCATTTATATTTTTGAGTTCTTTTACATCATTCTCAAAAATCAGGATTTTTTGTTTAACTTCATTATTTTCTTTGGAAGCCTTTTTGAACATTCCTACAAGTTCTTCTACAATGCAAAAAACATCATTAAGAGTTAAAGGATCATTGGGAGAATGTTCTTGATCACTTACCTCTTTTGACGTTTCTCCATCTTCAATGGCCATGAGACATAGGTTGGCCACTTCCTCCGTTTCCGAGTCTTTGCTCCCGGAGCCGTCGTTCTCCCAAGAAATGTAGGCACGTTGCTTCTTTGGTGCCCTCCTGTCCTTCTCGTTCTTGAGCTTTGGACACATTGGTTTGATGTGTCCAATTTCACCACACCCATAGCATTTGGGTGGAGTGTTCTTCTTGGCTCCCTTTTTAAGCATCATCTTCTTGAATTTTTGGAAAAAGAGTCTGAGGTCGATGTCGTCGTTGTCATCATCTTCATCATCGACGTTGTTGTGGGTTGATGTTGTTGCGGGTAGAGCAATAGACCTCTTGTTCCTCTCTTCAACCACCTTTGAGAGTTGGGTGGTTTCGTAGGTAATAAGATTACCTCGAAGAGCATCATAGGTCGTTGTTTGGAAGTCACGACTTTTTTCCATTGCGTCCACCTTTGAACGCCATTTGGGGGATAGGCTTCGCAGCACCTTTCTCACGAGCTCTCGGTCGGTGTATGTCTTTCCGAGAAGATTGAGAGGATTGATGATGTTATAGAATCTCTCAAACATTTCCCCAATATTCTCATTTTCCTTCATTGAAAAGAGTTCATACTCATGAGTGAGATGGTCGATTTTGGCCTCACAAACCTGCGCGGTTCCTTCGTAGGTGACCTCCAATTTTTCCCACATTTGTTTTGCGGTTTCACACCGCGAGATTTTGCAGTAGTCATTCGCGATAACACCGTAATAAATCATTTTTATTGCCTTTGTGTTGAGCTCCATCTTTTTGCAATCTTCGTCGGTGAACTCTTCTTCGGTTTAGGGGACGTTGACTTCACCGAATTTCTTCATCGGGACTCCACACCCGTTCTTGACTATCAACCACAGTTTGTAGTCATTGGATTGGAAGAAAATCCTCATCCTCTCCTTCCAATAGGATTAGTTGGTTCTGTCGAACAACGCTGGCCTTGTGGTTGATTGTCCCTCGCTAACTCCTGCGTTAAACATTATAGATGCCATTGATCTTTGAGTTCCTGAAAATAAAGAAGTATTCGAAGAACTTCCTGCTCCGATACCAATTTTCAGGCAAAAGTGCAACTCTACAGGGGGGTGAATAGAGTTGTTCCCTAGAATGTGCATAAATCGCGTGTGTGATAATTAAAAAAATTCGCAGGAAAAATATAAAGAGCAAGGGAAAAGAGTACACCGTGATTTATACTAGTTCACCACCTTGTGGCTAGTCCAGTCCTCCAAGAAACTCTCTCAAAGGTTCTACTAAACTTCAAGTTTCAACGGGTGCTTGAAAAACCGATAGAACTCGAGAACTTGAATCGCACAAGCCTCAACTTCTTACAACAAGACTTGAGTCACACAAGCCTTAACAACAACAAGACTTGAATCACACAAGTCTTAGCAATACTCAAAAAGATTGAGTTTACAACACAAGAATGAAAGCTCACACAATTTGAGCAAGAAGTGTTGAAATATGAAAGCTCTATGGATGACAAAATCTTTAGCACTCAATAAAAATATTTCTAACTCTCAAAATAATATATTGAGGAGGAAGATGGAAGAAAGAATTGAATATTGATCAATGTGTTGGACATGAGTTCAAACCCCTTTATTATTTTTAGAATATTTTTTTTGTTTTGATAAATGACAAACAGGATGATTAAATTCAATCAATATTCGAAAATTTATTTTTCGTATCGAGAAAAGCAAGGAAGAGTGTCAAGAAGTTTACGGCGATAAAAATCAACGCTCACCCCTACGCAAATTTTTTTTGAAGTAAAGTGAAGACTCCGAAGACTTTTTATTTTTTTATTGAGTCTAAGAATTCTTGTAAGGATGACAATAATTTTTCCATAAACAAATTGTTTTTTGACGGATAAAAAAGATTATTTCTTGAGTCAGTTGAAAAATTATTTTTTCTCTGTCTAAAAATATTTTACAGAGTCAGTTTCAAAATAGTGTGTCAAAATTTCTTAAAATACTTTTTAAGGATACACAAACTTTTTTTTGTGTGGTAAGAAAAATATACTTTAAAGATTTTTCTTGTACATCGTTTGACACACAAAAAAATTTTGGGACATAATTTCTACACAAAAATTCAAATATTTAATTCAAATGTTGAATTTGAATTAATTATTTTCAACCCATTTGATTTGTTTGTTTGTGGGAGCCTTGTCATATTCAAATTGTTGTCTAAAACAAAACATTAAGCTCTAAATATCCATCCCACTCGCACACATGTCTTGGGTCCTCATGTTTGAGGTTTGTTCGTCATTGGATCGATCCATTTATTAGGATCGATCAACGTGATTTGCGCTCAGGGATTGGGATTGATCCATTTCTTTGGATCGATCACTGTATTTTTCGGAATCCATCGGTGGATTGATCAACCTGCTTGGATCGATCCGCCGAAGCCTTGCAAAAATTCACTTCCAAAATTTTGGTTCTAGAGGATTGATCCTGCCTTGAATCGATCCCCCGTGCCTTTGACAAAAATCTTTTTCAGAAGTGTACTCCAGATGATCGATCCTTTGCCCTGGATCGATCCCCAACGGTCCAATCTGTCAAAAACACTTCATCCCTACTTCCAACGGATTTATTTCTTTTTCCTCTATAAAAACACTTATCCTCCTTCATTATATTAAAAATACATCTCTTGCACTCCAATATCTTGATTGATCAATATTCAATTCTTGCTTCCATCTTCCTCAATAAATATATTATTTTGAGAGTTAGAAATATTTTTATTGAGTGCTAAAGATTTTGTCATCCATAGAGCTTTAATTCTTCAACACTACTTTGCTCAATTGTGTGAGCCTTCATTCTTGTGTTGTAAACTCAATCTCATTTGAGTGTTGTTCTTAAGACTTGTGTGACTCAAGTCTTGTTGTTGTAAGAAAGTGAGGCTTGTGTGATTCAAGTTCTCAAGTTGTACCGGTTTTTCAAGCACCTGTTGAAGCTTGAAGATTAGTAGGACTTTCGAGAGAGTCTTTGGGAGGACTGGACTAGCCACGAGGTGGTTAACCAGTATAAATCTTGGTGTTCTCCTTTCCCCTACTCTCTTTATTTACTCCTACGATTTTATTATTTCACACACGTAAAAAACGCACATTCTTGATCGAAAACAACTCTATTCACCCCCCCCTCTAGAGTTGCACATACATTTGTCTAACACAATGAAGATATTGGAGTGCAAGAGATGTATTTTTAATGAAGAAAGATGAGGGTATATATAGAGGAAAAAGAAATAAATCCGTTGGAAGTAGAGAAGAGGTGATTTTGACAGATTGGAGCGTTGGGGATCGATCCAGGGGAAAAGATCGATCGTCTGGCCTAAACTACAGAAAATAAATTTGTGTCAAAAGCACGGGGGATCAATCCAAGGCAGGGGATCCATCCTCTGGAACCAAAATTCAGGAGACGGATTTTTGCAAGGCTACGGGGGATCGATCCACGCTCAAGGATCGATCCGACGAACAATTTGGAAAAAACATATGATCAATCCATTCACTTGGATCGATCCAGGCTCGGATCAATCTACACAGGTGATCAATCCAGGAAGGATGATCGATCTCCTAACGAACAATGGCCAAACAAGGGGGACCCAAAGCATGTGTGCGAGTGGGGAGTACAATTGGAGCTTAATGATTTGTTTTAGACAACAATTTGAACATGATAAGGCTCCCATAAACAAACAAATCAAATGAGTTAAAAAGAATTAACTCAAATTCAAAATGTGAATTAAATAATGAGTTTTTGTTTAGAAATTAAGTCCCAAAAATATTGTGTGTCAAACAAAGTACGAGAACAATCTTTAAAGTGTATTTTTCTTACCACAAAAAGTTTGTGTATCCTTAAAAAGTAATTTAAAAAAAATTGACACACTATTTTGAAACTGACTCAGTAAACTATTTTTAGACACAGAAAAAATAATTTTTTTCAACTGACTCAGAAAATAATAATTTTTATCCCTCAAAAATTAATTTCTTTATGCAGAAATTATTATCATCCTTACAAATATTCCTAGACTCAATAAAAAATACAAAGTCTTTGGAGTTTTCACTTCGCTTCAATGGTTGGCTGGGTTTTGACGATAGATGGATAGATACATCTTATTATGATGTGCGTGACTTCAGTCAGGTACAGAGTTGTGGTTAATGGCTCACTCATAGATGTTTTAAGCCCTTCGCAAGGCTTGAGAAAAGGCGATCCACTTAGCCCCTACCTTTTTATTATATGTGCGGAGGGTCTATCCCTTCTTTTGAGGAAAGCAGAGGAAATAAAGGAAACTCTTACACGGTATCCGTGTAGAAAGAGGAGCTCCGACAATGCCTTGATGATTACGAGCAGAGGGTCTATCTCTCATCTGCAGAGTGTCTATCTCTCATCTATTTTTTACCGATGATAGCTTACTTCTGTTTAAAGCAATGATGGGAGAGGGCTCAAGCAGTTCAGCAATGCATTGATGATTACGAGCAACTGTCTGGCCAAAGGGTAAATTATCATAAGTCTACGATTTTCTTTAGTACCAACACTCCCACTGCAATTCAAGACTCTTTGTCAAATCTTTTTGGTGTTGAAAAAGCTTTCAACTTTGGAAAATATTTGGGCCTACCTTCTTTCATCGGGATATACAAGTCTGAAACTTTTTACTTTATCATTGACCAGATTAGGAGCCAAGTTAGAGGATGGGGCAAACGGTTTCTTTCAAAAGCAGGGAAGGAAATTTTACTTAAAACTGTTGCTCAAGCATTACCTCAATATTCAATAAGTGTTTTTCTTCTCCCCATTGGACATTGCCACAGAATAGAAGGAATTATGAATCACTTCTGGCGGAGCAACAAAGGCTCGGACCTATCTGGAATTCACTGGCTCTTGTGGCAGCGTATGTCAATGCCAAAACAATTTGGTGGCCAAGGCTTTAGAAGGATTCGAGACTTCAATGTTGCTATGATTGGAAAACAAGGTTGGAGACTGATGGTCAACCCGAATTCCTTAGTGGGGAGAGTCTTTAAGGTGAGGTACTACTCAAAAGGGGACTTCCTGAATGCGGGGTTTGGCTCATCACCGAGTTTTGTGTGGTGAAGCATTTTAGAAGCCCGAAATCTTATCATTAATGGCATAGGTCGACGGATTGGGGATAGACGGGATACTCTAATTTGGGATGCTCCTTGGATTTGGGACAAGGACAGCCTGTTCATTACATCTCCAAAACCCCCTTTTTGTCCAAACTTTAAAGTTTCTTATCTAATTGATCCGGAAACTAACACATGCAAAATGGATGTGGTGCGGGAATGGTTCTTAGCCAAAGTTGCAATATCGAATTCAACGTACTCCATTGTCTTTCTCTCGCAAGGACTGTTGGTACTGGATGGCGGAAACACATGGAAATTACACTATGAAAAGTGGCGGGCTTGTTCTTGTGGGGAAGCATCATAGCTAGAGAATTTCGGTCAGTTGAATTGACTTTGGGGACTGCCCCTCATAGCCAAGGTAAAACATTGTGTGTGGATGTACTTAAGGGGTGTCTTACCTATGGCGGTAGCTCTTAGATCCAAGGGGGTTGCTATTGAGCCTAACTGCTGCATCTGTGGGGCACCGGAAGAATCGGTGGAGCATGTTTTCCTTTTCTGTCCTTTTGCTCAGGCTACTTGGAGACTCCTACACAGAGAGATCACCACAGGTATGCACGAGAACTTTAATAATTGCTTGGCGGCTGTTTTTGGATCGACTTCGGCTATCGATGGGGCAGTGATGCATGGCTGCGGGTATTTGGGCTATTTGGAAATCCTGAAATCAGGCCTGCTGGGAACTCAAGGTGGTTACACCGGAGGTTGCTACTGATTGGGCCCGAGAAGTATGCATGGCTAGGACAAGTCGTGATATACATGGTGGCACGATGGTGACGTCGGAGGGGTTGGGGCTTCAACACTTGAATCGGCCGGATCTCCTGCGCTGCTTTGTTGATGCAGCCATGTTTCAAAGGGATGGTTCTGCATCAGTGGCGGCAGCCCTTCTTGATGGGGCAGGCACGTTCATCAGGGGCTTCAACAAGCTTGTCACCTGTCCCTTGGTATCAAGGTACGTAGAAACTTTAGCTATTAAGGAAGCTCTATCTTGGCTCAAGGAGAAAAATATCCATGATGTCGCTATTTTCTCTAACTGTGTTCAAGTGTGTTAGAATAATAGACCAACGGTAGAGGGGGGGTGAATAGCGTTTGATCGTAGAAATCGCAGGAATTAAAAAATTTAAAAGAGATGTAAAGAGAAGAGTAAGAGGCACACCGAATTTACCCTGGTTCACCACAACTTGTGGGTAATCTAGCCTCCCGAGAGACTCTCTCGAGCTACACTACTATCTCGTTAAGCTTAACGGTGCTTAACAAACCCTTACAACTTGAGAGTTCGAGTCACACGAACCTCAACGAATCCTTCAAAGGAAACAGCCCTTCCTTTGAATCAAATGAGAGAAATACTTTCTATCTACGTGTCTAAGAACACAACAACACTCAAGAACAAGACTCTCTTTTAGAGTAGATATTGAGTAAACTAAGTACGATCAAGAACAACTCAACCTTCACACAAAATGGCTCTAAAAAGCTATGGAAAATGATGTTGTTTGAATGCAATGAAAGTAGGAGAATTGTGAAGTGAATTTGTAAGAAAAGCAGACCCAAACACCCCTTTTTATAGTGTCAAAATAGGCTCCAACGGACCAATGCATTAAAGGGGTGATTAGCTTGATTTATGGAATGGAAAAGAATTGGGATCTGCAGGATATTGGCTTCCCATCGATGTTTGGAACTTACCCATCGCTGGCAAGCCAATTTTCCTTCAGTTTTGAAGCCAACGGTCACCTGCCCATCGATGGGTACAAGCTTCCCATCGCTGGGTGGGAGGTTGACTTCCAAACAAGGAAAGAATCAACCTTAAATGACTTCCAATGGTCATGCCTTCCCATCGATGGTTTAGCCTTACCATCGTTGGGTTCCCATCGATGGGATAGGTTTCCCATCGCTGGGTAAGGTCGTTTTGCCTTGTGTTAATGTTGCACTAAGGTTTTAACAGCAATGGGTAGAACTTCCCATCGCTGTTTGGCATGGCTCTGGAAGTTGGTTTGGCTAAGGGACCGCTTACCCATCGATGGGAAGATCTTCCCATCGCTGGGTGGGTGGTTAGCCAAAAACGCATGGTCTTTGCCTTAACAACTGCCTAGCCAACCGATGCAAAAACCAACCAAAAAATCCAAAGTTCTCCCAAATAAAAACCAAGTGTTTAAAACACTTATTTGATGTATTTGGCTAAGAAATCAAGTGAGGCACTTTTAAAACCACGTCATTTGAGTGAAAACCACGGCTAGCCAAGTTTACGCCGTTTTGAGTGGTTTTTGTCAAAAGACCAAAAGCAAAAGATGGTTTTCAAAGTGTTTTTGTTGGAGAACTGTTTAAACATGGCAAAGAGTAAAACCAGTCATAAAAGGTTGAAAACCACTTGGTTGGTTCTGACGCCAAAAACCAAGGCCGATAACCAAAAGCCGAATGCCGGTTTTTGAAAGCCGAACGCCGGGTGGCTTGGTTTTCGGTTTGGGCAAACACCAAGTATTTTTAATGATTTAAACATGTTTGGAAAACATTTTTTTGATGTGATAAATGCAATAAAATATTTTAGCCTAAAGAGCCAAGGTGTAAAGATTGGGTCGGTCTTGATCACAATAAAGACCAACTCAACGATGCTAAGACTAAGGTCTTCGTTCTTGGTCTTCGTTTAGCTCTTGTTCTTATCTTCGTTCTTCGCCTTGTATATTCAATATTTGACTTGATCATGGCGGTTTGGCATTATCAAAACCTGTCATAAAAACAAACACGGCTTTAGTACGAAAAACGTGACAAGCCCGTGTTTCAACAATTTCCCCCTTTTTGATAATGGAAAACGAGATGAGGTTATGCATAGGAGGATTATTTTGAGACTTAAAAAAATGTTCCCCCTTAAGAAGTGCAATTTTGTTTTTAGTAACCTTAAAAAATTCCCCATCAATTTATGCATAACCTTGAAATCTTCCCCTTTTGACATTAACAAAATGAAATTAAAACTTTTATTCATTAAAGATAAGGGAAAATAATACAATAGAATAAAAAAAATGCAATCATAGTAAGGAAAGGAAAGAAAGGAGGAGTCTAGGCATCGGCGTCCTCGTCCTCGGCGTCATCATCATCCTCGTCGTCCTCGACGTCCATGGGATCCCCGTCGACCGCGTCCTCAAAGTCGGCCTCGTCGGGGGAGGAGGACGGAGCATAGGAGTCATCCTCATCGTCCTCGCCTTCATAGTTTTGGCTGAGGAAGGTGCTGTCAAAGGGCGGCGGGACGTAGTTGATGCCGCGGAAGAACGCCCTCATGTCGTGGTGTTGGCATTGCAGCGTCCAGTCCATCCTCTCCATGTATTGGCCCATGCCGTCCACGGTGATGGTTAGCCGGTTCAGGGTATCGGCTATGGACTGTAAGGAGGCCTTGGCGGGAGCGGGGCCTGGTGCCTGACCTGCGCCGGTTCTATCACCTGACTTCTTCCGGAAGGTGCTGTCTTGGATGATCCAAATCTTTGTCATCTTCGTATCCGGGCCGGGGATGTGGATGTCGGAGGCAACAATGAGATCCATGATGAGGAAGGCGTATGGCAAGCTCCGCTCGGTGGTGATGGAGGCGCAATCCGCCATGTGAATCATGACATATTTTTCCCAGTTGATCGAGGCGCCATGGGTGATAGCATGAACCGCCTTGAGATCCTCGTTGAAGAGACAAGTGTGGCTACTGTCCCGGGGGCGAAGAATCCAGGTGAGGATGTAGTGTAACGCCCCAAAATATACCCTAAAATTTATAGAATTAAATATTCAATTAAACAAAATTTTTTTGATTAAAATAAATTGTTGTTGGGCTTTGGGCCGAAATAAAATGTGTTTTGATATCCAATATCACAATCAAGATAAATCTCATAGAGATAAATCCATTTAGTTGACTATTTGTGTAATCTTGATTGGAAACCTGTGTAGAGACCCAAATTAAGAATAAATGAAGAAATTGTTTTATAATGTGAACTTTGAAATGATTTATTGAAATAAATCATGGAAATAAATAATATGAATTGAATATGAGCACCTTTTTGAGTAAAGGTCAAACAAATCAATTTTGACTCTGTCAAAGTCAACCACCCAAAAATATGATGTCGGAAAAAGTATAACGAATAAATATAAAAATTATATCGTTGGATAGAGTTTAACTGTCCGATCGCAACAGTGCAAACGGATTTCAATTTGGAGAAAGTTGGACCAAAAAGTGTACCCCGACTGGGACCAAAATTAGTCCCAATCAGGGAGTAACGTGTTGAATCTCTTTATCGCCGAATGAATCGTGAAATGGGAATCCTACGCAGCAGCAACTCAGCTTCCCATGTCTTCTTCCTCTTCCTCTTGCTATATAAGAAACTCAATTCTTCTCATTTCTTCACCATTCATCTTCAAAATTCTTCCTAAGTGTTCCTAAGAGTGTAAGGAGTGTAGTGGTGCTGTCAGTTTGGTGTGAAGTCGCCGGAGCTAGCCACAAACCTCACTGAAAGTTTCGCCAGAATATCGTCAAAACCTCCATCAAGCTTCGAGGTAAGCCCGTTGAAATATCTAGTGACTAGAATGTTCGTATAGATCGTTTCTACGTTCATAAACGGTCATTTGGTTGAGTTTTGTGTTTGATATGCTTAAAGAACCAAGAATCATAAACCATTAAATAGATGTTAAAACTATGAATTAATGATGCCAAAATGATCTATGAACCTTGGAGAACATCTCTATATAGTTTCGTTGAAATTCGATAACTAAAAACGGTATTTTCGAAATTGGACCCGAACGAAGAAGAAGATGAACAATAACCAAAAACCAGGCTGCCTGGATCGATCCAAATGGGTGGATCGATCACCTGGGTGTAATTTTTCATATCATGAATCGATCCAGAGGGCTGGATCGATCCCCCGAAGTTCTGATCCGAAAATTTGTTTGAAAATGCTATTTTTGAGCTCTAAAATCCTGTTTTTGATATCAATTGATTATGATCATTATAAAAATGATTTACCACAATAAAAATTATGTTTTTGACAAATAAAATGTTATATGATGCATGACGGTAAGTTCGGGTGTTAACACTCGAAGCTAGGCCGCTATTTGCTATCGAATGTTATGTTGATTGATGACTATGATGAATGATTATTATGATGATTATGGCTTGAGGAAACCACTGATTAAAATGATTATCAAGGATTAAATTATGAATTAAAATGAATATGTTGATGATTATGAAATGATTTGGATTGTAAGGATATCTAGAAGAACTCTAAGATATACCTAGGTTGACTTTGGTTTCTAAGACTATCTAGAAGACCTCTAAGATAGTTTAGAAATAGGCATTGCGGGTATAATCATGAGTATTCGGTGGCCTGGGATAAAACGTGCGTACGGGATCTACAAACCAAACTTGAGGCACTCGTTTGGGGATACCACCCAACCCGACAGTGAGCATTTCGGATCCGCTGTTCGGTTTTTGGATGACCTTAATCGAAGGTAAGTTTAAGATTTTGAAAACCTCTGTTTGAAAGTTTATATCTTAAACTAGGCCTAGCTTAAGGGTTAGATAAGAGTACCTTAAACTTGAATATAGTTTAACTATGTTAGACTAGNTGAATAATCAATGTTGAAAATTGTATTTTGATTATTGAGTATCTGAACTGAACATTATGTGCATGATATCAAATGGTTGATTATGAATTGAGATTCAATTTATGTGGATGTTCGACGCATTAGATATGCTTACTCAGCTTTACCGCTGAGCGTGTAGTATGTTTTATTTGCTACACGCAGGTCAATAGAATAATGTGACGTGATCCTGGAGGCAGACGGAGGCGAGATAGTCGGAATGGATGTGATGGTTTTGAATTAAAGAATATAAATAAATTATGTCTGTGGTTATAATTTGTTAAGCTTCCGCAATATTTAAAACTCTGTACTGTTTATGATATGAAAAATATTATTGTGATAAATAAAAGTGTTTGAAATGTTTTAAATTTTACGATTACCAAGTTAATACTTTAGTCCGAAAGGGGCTGCAGACTTGGACGGATTAGGGTGTTACAATTTGGTATCGGAGCAAATGGTTTTAAAACCAATCTTCGGATCAAAATGTGAATAATAAAAAAATTTGTCAATCACATCCACGACTTTCGCATCCCTCTGCTCCAGGAAAGGTATGAGAAATTACTTGATAAATTTTACTCTGTTAGAATTCTCATTGAATAACAATTGATTAGTACTCAAATTGTATTGAGCTTAGACTCTAATAGAACTTTCGTACTCAGTAAAGAGACGCAAGAATGAATGAAAAATATATGACCCTCTGATCCGTTATTAACGTACGCATCGCATCGCGAAGGACGAAACTGATCTGCATCGCAAAATCATACGAAAGTGAGACGACTATGAAGAAACGACAATTGTTGAGAAACAGCTGTGAAGCCGATGTCAAAGATCCTCATGTAGACTCAAGACGATCTAATCGCTGGTTCAAACACGAACGTTTAGAATCAATAAACTCTGTTATGTGAAGTATCCGATACTATTGTTTGACTCATTAGGACACATGATGCGATTACTTAATGTGAATTGAAATCGTTCGTTAAGCGATAATCCTTTGTAAAACATCGTTGAGGTACCATACAAGGAAAATCGACATTGTCCTTAGTATGCATTAACTAACTGAACGTCGTTGCTGTTGTCAACTTATGATGAAGAATTTCTCAACTAAAGACCATTGATGAAAACCTTATATAGGTGAAAGCAAAGCTGATTTCTAAACCGACCGAGTTCATCTCGAATTTATGTGTGCAAACCTCTCAACCAGGCGTAAAGTCCTTTCGTGTGATACGCGAAAGAAAGATCTGAACTGAAGGACCAATATTCGTAACTCTGTATTGAACGTGTTTCTATCAATGACTTCCTGATAAAGAATCATTTGATCAAGTGTTTCCTCCTTGGGAGAATACCTGTTTTGTTCATACGCAAATCAATGAGACTCTATATCACTTACTGTCGATTGAATAATTTGTTATCCTTTACCTCGTATCATGACTTATTTGATCAGCTAAGAGAATTCATTGTATTCTCTAAGATTGACTTACGGTCAAGATACTCACAAATCCTTGCTAAGAAACTTGAACAAACCGACGGTCGAGAATGACGACTTATTCGATCAAATTCAAATAACCTGCTTGTTAGAAGCTATACACCGCTCAACCTTGTTTAATGAACTGGTGCCTTGTTATGAAGCGATTAATGACCTAATTGCCTATCATCGAAAACGTCGATGAAGTAAGTGATGCTGACAAAACAAATCATTATGATAATTGACTCGTCCGGATATCATTTTGACATGAAAAGATTGCGACTGTGGTGACGATATGACGTGAAACAGTGACACCGACAATGAAAGAATGAAGAATGAAGAAAATGTAGTTTGCGCTGGCCATACAACCTTAAATAATATTTATGGATAATATTATTTCAACACAAAATACAACTTGGATTATATGAGGAAAGTTACAAGTGCAATTCTAAATCTAATCCCCCGGGATTTGCGAACTCGTCATAATTAGCACGAGGACTCGGAAAAGCTTTAGCAAACTCTAGTTTGTCAAAAAGCTCATCAACAAAGAAAGAAGAGATAAACAGTTTCCTCTGATTCAAAGCCATGAAGTTCTGCCTCACCGCATCATCTAGAAACTTGATTAGATTATTTAAATAACCGTCAATGTTCAAAAGACCAATAGGTCTATTGTGTAACCCTTCAGAAGCCCATGAGATCAAGGTGAACAAACCTTCCATAGTGTCAACTCCTCTGGGAAGGACGATGAAAGCTTCCACGGCATGATTCATCTCAAAATATTTGTAATAGTTGCTGGAAACTGTATGCTCTACATCGTACGTAGGTCCATAGACACGTCGTGTTGCTATGTACCCAAGAATAAAACCTCTAACGAGACCACCATTGGTAAAAACTGTTGAAGCAACAGCTCCTTGAAGGCCAACACTACCTCCTCCATAGGCAAGTTTAATTTTTCGCCTTATCAATTCCCTTCCTTAATCCACCGCAGTAGCCATAAACTTTGGATTTCTACCAAGAGAATGACTACCAAGTAGACCAACGAATCTTATGGTATAAGGAAGTGTTTGAGAAACATTAACAAATAGTTACAAATATGATTAAACACAATAATAAATATACACATGTAGTAGAGGCAAAATGTTCAAACCATCACTCAAATATTAGAGGCAGTTCAGCACATGGCGCCACCACAATACACTGTGGAAAAGTTGAAGAGGAACGGAGGTGAGGAGTTCTTGGAAAACGAGATAAAGAATCCCGGTAAGGCAGAGTACTGGTTGGTAAGAACCAAAAGAGATCTAAAAACTTTGAAGGTCCCGGAAGATGATAAGCCACAATAAGCAATTGCACTACTTCAAGACGCGGCATATGACTGGTGGAAAGAATCGAGAGAGATCCCGCCACCCCTAAATATATCACATGGGACTTCTTTGAACATGTTTTCAAAGAAGAGTATGTTCCGGATAGATATAGGGAAGCCAAGCGCAAACAATTCATAGAACTGAGGTAGAATGGACGACCTCTAATCGAATACCGGCAAGAGTGTGATCATTTGACAGAATATGCAATAGACCTAGTAAACACTACCAAAAGAAGATGTGAAAGTTTTGTTGAAGATCTAGATTACGATCTAGGATTAGCTGTTGCTACAATTGACTATACTACCTTCAATGCAGTCTATGCAAAGGTGGAGCGAGCTGAGGAAAGAATAGCGGCAAAGAAGGCTTTGGAAAAGAAGACATCTTTTGAAACGTCATCACAATCATTCACACCTCCTGAGTCTTTTGAGGAAATAAATTTTTCTAGAAACATAGACTTTCCACAAAATAAAAAGGCCAAGATCACATCTAGTGTTGTGATGAGTAATCCATCTTATACTGATCCACTATGTCCTCATTGCCATCGTCATCACCTTGGAGAATGTTGGTATTATACTAGAGCATGTTTGGGATGCAGCCAAATGGGTCATTTAAGACAGAACTGTCCAATCAACCCATCGGTAGCAACACCAACAACCATGACGACATCCATCAACCAACCCAATAGAGACAAAGGAAAGCAAAAGGTGTATGAAACTACCAATGAGGGAACAAGACTAGCACGTACACTTACATAATAATGAGAACACGAGAAGATGTCCCCTCAAATAACGTCACTAGTGGTGTGTTTACGTCATATAATTCTATTATAACAATTCTTTGACCTATTCAAACGTGATTCAGTACCACATCATTTCCATGGCATGATGCATTAAAAAAATTCGAGGACGAAATTTCTGAAGTTGGGGAGAATTGTAACGCCCCAAAAACCGGTCTAGTTGTTTTTGATAAAAAGATAATTTTTTGGTAATTGTACCCATTTAGATTAGAAATAAAAATAATAAATTTAATAATTATACGGAGTATCATATAAATCAGTTTTGACATATTAATCCTTTAAATAACAGTAAAAGTATTCTTGGAATAAAATTTGAACTAAAACAAAACTAATTGAGATAAGTAAATTAAATTTAAAAAAAAGGAGCAAGTTGATCCTATCTTATTTTAGCCGACTTTGCATCAAGATAAGGATAATCCAATCTATCTGATGGATATCGGGTCTGATGGACCCGACTCTAGGCCCAATAAAGGCCCATAATAGTGCGAGATGGATAAGGCCAGGTGGGGGTAATGGGTCGAGCCCGCTACTACACGCATGGCGAATGGGAAAAGGACGGCCCGATCATAGGCTAGATCAAGATGACCTAGTCCAAGGAAAGAACGGGACACGTGGCCCGCACCACCAGGTTGTGGACGAGATGGGAAGACAACGGGACCGGAGAAGAGAGAATCACAACCCCATGATCTCCATAAATTCTCCCATTATGTATAATTTTAATTACAATATTAGAAGTACTATAAAAGGGGAAAAAACCCGCCATTGTAAAGGGACGACCTCAAGCAATTATACACTTAATTAGAGAACATTATTGAGTGAATATATTTTTTCTGATCCATATTACGTTCTTGGTCCGCCATCTGATCGGGTTAATCCCATCATTGGTGCTATCATTGAGAGATAATTGTGAGATAAGGCTGTGAGATTATGGCCGGATGAAGGACGAGACGTAATACCTCTGCTTCCGCCTAGTCGACGGTGAGGAGTGACTAACCTGAGCAAGGTATGATTGTTCCAGTCAATGGGTTGGAAACGGGGTTGAATAATGTGTCTAACATGATGGCCAACATTATGGAGCAGTTAGACAAGGCTCTCCCTGGTCTATCTGGTACCCGGGATGTCCCTGCCGGGCAACCCCACCAGGTCCTGCATACTGCGAGTTCCCCCATCCTCCAGGAGCTTCATGATCCAGAGGAGGTTGAGAGGGAGAAGCAGGACATCGCTAGGCACCGGGCGGAGGAGTTGGCCCGGAATAGTAAGGTGAATGGGGAGTGGGCCAGGACGGCGAGCCAAGTCGTCGGTAATAGAAACGAAAACCCATGGGGGACTGTCTTGAAAGGATATCTCACCAGAAAGCTCACGTTAGTGAAAGGCTGGGGAAGAATCCGGACAAAGCACCCCAGGGTTGGGTACAACCCCAGGCCAGCCAAGTGGCATCTTCTAACTGCGAACCCCGACAGTGAATCGGCAGCGGTGGGAGCCTAGCGCTGGTGCGGTCAGTGGTGGTTCTAGACGAGGACGAAGTTCAGAGCCAAGTCAGGGTTTTAGCGCCACAGCGTCTGGGGCCACCGGTACCGGAGGCAGCCGGTGAATTCCAGGATCTAAGGCAGCAGATCCAGGAGATGCAGAGGAAGATAAACCGGGGACGAGTATTTACCACTCGGACGAATACTCCCCTTGCCCCGGAAATCTTTGCAGAACCATATCCGCAGGGATTTAAGATGCCTTTTGTTAAGCGTTACGATAGGGAATCCGATCCCCAAGAACACATAAATAGCTATGTCCAGGTGATGATCGACGTCGATGCCAGCAATGCACTGATGTGCCGTTGCTTCCTGCAGACAGTTGATAGCAAGGTTGCGGATTGGGTGAACCACATTCCTCCCAGATCGATCCTGACATGGGATGAATTGGGATTGCGGTTCTTAGAGCATTTTGCAGGGAACTGCCGTCCCAAGAAGCATTTCACTCACCTGGCTTCAGTGCGGCAAAAGCACAGAGAATCCTTGAAAAATTTCCTTATCCGGTGGAGGAAAGAGTCCAGGGAGGTTGAAGGAACCGACGACAAATCCAGGTTAGCCATGTTCATGATGGCATTGTAGGATGGTCTCCTTCATACTGATCTCACAACTCATCCCCCGGATACCTTCAAAGAAGCAATGGTCCGGGCCGGAAGGTATGTGACCCTGGAGGAGGGGAAGGAGGAGAAGAAAGAGAAGACTCATAAAGAAGAAGAAAAGGCAGGAAATAAGAAGCCTTTTAAGAACAAGAAGCAGGGCTTCCCGGATGGCCCAAAGGGCACGGGCCCTAGGACCTCGGAGAAGCACAAATCTGCCAATCCAGTCTTCACGTTGGCGATGGCTGAGGTCATGGCCCACGCTGCACAGCAGGGACTCATGACTTATCCAACATATTCTCAAAAGGTCTGCAATGTGGAGGACACTGGAAAATGGTGTGCCTACCATCGCAAGAATGATCACAACACAGAGGATTGCTATACCCTGAAGAATGAGATGGCCAGGCTAATCTGCCGGGGTTAGGGGTGAGCAATTTAACCGAACCGACCGTTTAACCAATACAATTTAACCGAATCGACCGCAATTTTAAATTCGGTTTCGATTTTTGGTTTTAATGTCAAAAATTTTCGGTTAATTCGGTTATCGGTTTCGGTTTCGGTTTTGGGCAATGTTAACCGAAACCGACCGAATTACCGAGCCCATAATGTGTATTAATTATTAAACATCTTTAAGCCTGGACCAAATCTTTTAGTTATAGCCCACATAAAAAAGCCCAATTCCTAGCCCTCCTTCTCCCAACCCATCTCCCAAGTCCCAAGTCGGCACTCGGCAAAAAGTCTCAAATCCCAACCCTACTGTGTCGCTCTCGCCTTCTTGGTCCTCACCAATCGGCAATCACCATCTCCCATTCTCCCCGTTCCTGCGTTCTCAAACCGGCGCCATTCACGCCAAGATCTAATCGGCAATCACCATCTCTGTTCCGGCGTCACCAATCGGCAATCACCAGGTTTGTTCATTCTTTTTTGTTGCTAATTATTATTCTTTTAGGTGCATTACTACCCAAGGGCCATGGCCGACGATCATCACAGCTCGTTGCCGCATCAGTATGGAGCTTGTCGTCATCCCCATTCCCGAGCAGCAGCAACAACAATCCCAAGGAGCTGTTAATATTAGTCTTTAATTTGTTAGATGGTGATTGATTTAAGTGTGTAATTTGAGGAAAAAAACCCAGACATGTTTGATCCATGTTTTATGTTTAAGCCTTTTATGTTTGTGGACAGATTTTTTTGCTATTACTTAAAAATGAGAAATGCTTCATATATGCAGTAGGCAGTAGGTTTTTAGATTGAAAAAATCGGTTTTTTCAAACCGACCAAACCCGATCGGTTTTTACTCGGTTTGGTTTGTTCGGTTCTTGCTTTAATTCGGTTTGGTTCGGTCGGTTATTTTGAGTACTTTTAATTTTCGGTTTTTTCGGTTTTGGGCCGAAACCGGCCGAACCGAACCGATGCTCACCCCTAGCCGGGGTCATCCGAAGAAGTTTGTACAAGATGGTGACATGGGAAATCCTGGGAATGCTCAGAATGGGAAGTGTAGAGATAAGGAGGTGGCCCAGGCTGAGGCCCAGGAAAAACGCCACATCAGGCTTGAAGATGAAGAGGAGGATTCGGAGCCCGCACCGCACCGCCAGAAGAGACAGCACAGGTGTAACTTCATCATCGGAGGGAATACTGGCGGAGACTCGGCCACGAGCCAGAAGAAGTGGGCCAACGCGGCGATGGTCAATAAGGTGCTGGTCCCGGAAGGTAAGAAGCTAAAAACTGAGCCAATTGTATTTTCCAATGCTGATTTGCCAAAAACAGGGGTCCCCCATAGGGACGCCTTGGTGATTACGATTGATATAATGGACTTGTTCATCCACAAGACTTTGGTGGATACGGGAAGTTCCGTTAATATCATGTATATGGATACTTACAAGGCTCTTGTACTAACTAGAGATGAGTTATCACCCATTAAGACTCTGCTGACCGGGTTCACTAATGACTCTATTGAACCAGAGGGGGTAATAACTCTCCCGGACGAAATAGGGGATACTAAGGCCACCCGGAAGTTGGAAATGGAATTTGTTGTGGTGGGGATAATCTCCAACACAAACATCATCCTGGGCAGGCCCGGAATGGAAGATCTAGAGTGTGTCATCTCACCTCGTCACCTGTGCATAAAGTTCCCAACCGCTCCACAGAGTTGGAATCGCCAAGGGATCCTAGAGAGTGTCCCGGGCGTGGTATTTGAAGGCAACCAAACAGCCTATCAAGTACGACACCCAAGTGGGGGAGGTGACTGCACAGCTCTTAAGGGCCGAGGAGAGACGTCCTAGAATAGAAGTTGTTGGCAACGTTGAGGAGGTGGAATTGGAGCCGGGCACGCCGGGGAGGTTGGTCAGAATTGGAAAGGGCTTGGGGGCTAAACTCAGGTCACGAGTAATCTCAGTCCTTAGAAGATTCAGGAAGGTTTTTGCATGGAGTCGAGCTGATATGCCAGGGCTGGATCACAAGCTTGCAGTCCATCGCCTTAATGTCTTGCGAGATCCTAAACCGGTGAAGCAGAAGCGAAAGCATTTGTCACAAGAAAGGAGAGAATTCGTGAAGAAGGAGGTAGCAACCTTGCAGAGCATTGGACATATCCGGGAGGTTCACTACCCGGATTGGTTGACGAATGTAGTTCTGGCGCCTAAGCCTCCTTCATGGAGAATGTGCATCGACTACACGGATTTGAACAAGGCATGCCCAATGGATCCGTTCCCACTCCCCAACATTGACTAGCACTACGCCAAAAACATCATCAGACCACTGTTGATTAATTACTGTTTATGCAAACACAGTAGTTGAAAAAAAACAGACTATTGTAAGTTTTTCTTGGGAACAGAACCGTAGTCTAGCTGCTATGCTTTAAAACTATTTTTCAAGTTTCGAGAAATGGTAATGTATCACTAGTTGTCTGTCTCAGTTCAAAATACAGTTTTTCTTACAACAGTTGTCAATAACAAGTTAAGAATACTCTTTTTAAACAATAGTCTGGGTTGTAATTCTAGATCTGTTTTTAAATTTATTAGAAACAGTTATCTATTGTTTGTTGTCTGTTTCATATGGTTTTTTTGCCACTGTTGTTTATAATAGGAATAGAAGACTGTTTTAGAACAATAGTCTATGAATTATGGGTAGAACTGTTTTTGAAGTTGTGAGAAACGGTCCTCTATTATTAGTAGTCCGTTTCACCTAAAAATACAGTTTTTGTTGCCACAGTTGTCAATAATTAGTTAAGACTACTATTTCTAAGCAATAGTCTGGTTATTTAATTTATAACTGTTTTTAAACTTATAAGAAATAGTATTTTATTGTTAGTTGTATGTTTCACACGGTTTTGTTTTGCATAGTTGTTTATTACAAGAATAGTTGACTCCCTTGTAACACTAATATATTTATATAGCGTAGAACTATTTTTAAAATTCATAGAAACCGTAATATATATATATATATATATATATATATATATATATATATATATATATATAAATTTTGGTTCTAGTGAGAATGCAATCTTAGGAGAGAAATGAGAATGAATCTAGTGCTTTAGATTGTGAGATCTAAGGGTCAAGATTTCATCAAAATTAGATGCACCAAAATGGTTCGAAAATGCATCACGTCGAAATGCACCATAAACCTTCGAAAATGCACTATCTCAAGATCTGAGCGCAGGATGCAATCTGAGCCGTACGATGCATCAGATCTGACGGCTAGATTTTATTCTCATTTCTCTCCACAAGGTGCATTCTCACAGGAACCGGCCCCTATATATATATATATATATATATATATATATATATATATATATATATATATATATATATATATATATATATATATATATATATATNAACATAAGTTCCATGCAGAAATTATCTTCTTGAACACAAAATTGGAACACTAAATGCGCCAAAACAAAGGATTGTGCCCATAAGGTGTCTTAAACAGCCGTCAAAAACGCTCTTCCAGGTTGACGATTTGCAAGTGGCCCATGGCATCCAAGGAGCTTGGCATTGACACCATCATTCACAAGACGATTCTCTTTCTTGTAGTTCACATAGTCCGAGCTGTTCAACTTGGTGAATCCCCATTTGCGGCTAACAATGATCTTTTGACGGGCAAGGAACTTAAACTTTGCACGGCGAAGGGCCTCCTGAGCATGGACTCCATTGGCATCCTTGCAACGAACAGAGAGAAGAACCTGTCCAATGGCAACTCGGGCACAAACCCCCTGTGGCTTCCCAAAAAGCACCTCACATTCCAGTTTGGAGCCTATCAGCTCCAGCACATGACAACATCTTGTTAATACGCAAGACATGGAAGCGGTGAACCCTAACCCTCAGATGGAAGGCATCTTTTCCCGCAAACTTTGTCATGTACTTGTTACAGGCAATCCGTGCCGCCTAAAGTGCCTCACTGGACACATTTTCCTTTTCCCAACTGACCAAATGCACACAGTAGGGGAACTCATCAACCCCCTTTTTCTTCATCCCCACATCATAGATCCTGATCTTTGGGTCTGGCACACCACGGCAGTACCTTGACTTTGGGTACGGCTTGTTCTTGATAACTCTATCAGTAAAATCAAAATCAGACTATCAACCATCAATTTAGAGTAGAAAAAACTCTAAAACTAACATCAAGTCATTTAGATTGACAATAACTGAAGGGAGAACACATACCTCAATGATCGTTAAGAGATGGTCAGTGGTTGCCTTCACCAATCCAGCTTCAATTGGACAAAGGTCTCCACCTAATGATTGAATTATGTCTTCTATATCCATTTTAAATCTGAATACATGCATCTGAAATTAGATTATTTACAGAATACAAAATGCATATAAGTGTTTAGAAAATATGAAGACATTCTCGACTCTTTAGAAATACAAGCATCACGAATAGAATACCAGAAAATGGGATGGAAAACGAGCAAAAAGCATGGGTAAACCTGGACTTGAAGAACTCGCTGTGAACAGTGACTCCGAGTCCAAAATTTTTGCTCAATTCGCAGCTTCCTTCAACCGGTTTGGAAAACCAATTTCAGGTGTTGAAAGAGCATCCGAAGTCGCCCATAATCCCCCAAAAATTGGCCTTCAAACGAGCTTGGACCGAGATGAATTGGACCTTCAAAAGTCGCAGATGAACAGTAACTCGAGAAGGTTGACATGCGATTCTTGCTCAATCCAGCGCCCAAAACGTCAAATTGAGCTGAAGAATGGATTTCCATGCCCAAAACGATTCTAGAGCTCTAAGAATCGGTCCAAAAATTCAACAAATTCAAGGTGAAAGCGGGTTTGAGATCGGCAGTGAACAGTAACTCGTGGAGACTGCCCAGCGATCCAAAACCTGTGATTGATGTTAGGCGGGCAATGAAAAATAGGGAGGGATTCTAAAATTTGAGATGAGCTTTAAAATTTGAAAAATGCTGGGTACACCAAATGTGTACCCCATTTGTACCCCACCCCCTCCTTGTCCACAAAAAAAAGGCAAGAAATTTAAAAAAAATAAATAAATAAAAATAAAATAAAAATGGGTGGTGGAGAAGTGGGTGGTGTACATTTGGGGTACACTTTTGGTGTACCCCTAGCATTGCTCTTAAAATTTTTATAATCAACATTCTAATTTTAGAAACAAAAAAGTTTTTTGGTCCATAAATTTTCTCACTCTTATATAACACTTTCAATTAGTAGTATGCAAAAATAACGGTTCGATATTGTTTCGAACTGAAACGATAATGTACCGAACTAAAAAGTGAGTTTTCAAATGGTTCTAACAAATTATATCTCGAATCAAACCGAACTATTTTCATGAAAGTACAAGATGGGTTTCCAAAAAATAAATAGTCAAAGTACCTATTTGTTACCATTATATTAATAAAATAATAAATTAGTTGTACATTATTTTGTTAATTGAATTTTTTACTCACATGGAGTCAATTCCACAAGATACCCATATTTAAAGATTAGATTCGGCGATTAAGACACAACGTAGAGAAGTAAATAGATCTTTTTGAAGATTTGATCTAGTCTTATTAGACATGAATTTGATTTTATCCAATTAGATCTGTTTTGTCTGATTTGATCTGATTAGGTCTGATCTGATGCATTTAAAGATTATATTAGGCAATTAGGACACAACCTATACAAGTTAACAGGTTTCTTGTGAAAGTTTGATATGATCTTATTAGATTCGAAATTCATTTGATCCCATTAGATCTGTTTTTGTCTAATTTTATCAAATTAGGTCCGATCTGGTGCATTTAAAGATTACATCAGGAAAGTAGGAAACAACGTACACAATTAAGTAAATATATCTTTTTAAAGATTTGATATGATCTTATTGGATTTGAATTTGATTTGATCTAATTGGATCGATTTTGGTATAATTTTATTTAATTATATTCGGCACAACTTGTACAAGTAAACAGGTTTCTTGTGAAAGTTTGATATGATCTTATTATATTCGAAATTCATTTGATCCCATTAGATCCGTTTTGGTCTAATTTGATCGAATTAGATCCGATCCGATGCATGTAAAGATTACATCAGGAAAATAGGACACAACGTACACAAGTAAATATATCTTTTTAAACATTTGATCTGATCTTATTGGATTTGAATTGAATTTGATTTGATCCGCTTAGATCGATTTTGGTATGATTTGATCTGATTAGATTCGATCTGATGAATTTAAAGATTATATCAGGCAATTAGGACACAACCTATATAAGTAAACAAGTTTCCTGTGAAAGTTTGATCTAATCTTAAGTAATTCGAATTTGATTTGATCCGATAAGATCTGTTTTGTCTGATTTGATCTAATTAGGTACGATATGATGCATGTAAAAATTTAAATGTGTGATGCTTTAGTGTTGGAGAAATTAAAATTTTAAAGTGGTATACGTGAAACTTATATCTCAAACTTGTCATTTTCAATTGTAACGACCTGAAAACCGGTCTAGAAGTTAATCGATAAGTAAATAAATAAGAATTAAGAATTATTTATTTACGATACTCTATTCTTTTAAAGAATTAAAAGACACTTTATAGATTCTAATCGTCTCAATATTTGGTGACTAATCTGATTTAAATATAAAGAATTAAAGTATAACTGAACAGTGTTAGTTAAGCGAAACAATTAAGACGGACCAGGTGGAACTTATAAATGCTTATTGATTGATTATAAAAGTTATACCGTTGGGTAAGAATTGACGAATTGAATCCAACAACGTGAACGGATCTCAATTTGGAACAAGTTGAACCGAAAAGTATGTTTTACCCAGACACGTTATTTTAAATTA